TTATAGGAGTCATTTTGATTAGCTATACATAAAAATAGTTTTAATGATAGTTCAGAAGAATTTTAGCAGAGTTTCCAGTTACAAGGATTATTATTATTATTATTACTTAGATAAAGTCTTTGCTATGCAACCTAGGCTAGCCTCAAATTTGCTATCCTCCTGTCCCTGCTTCTCAATTGCTGCAATTACAGGTCAGTTGGGGCTATGTAGTGAGGCTTGATCTTAAAAAAATTTAATTTTTACAATATATGTTTGTTTTATAAATGTAATGTATACTTTATAATATACATCTGCATAGAGAGGCGTTTCATTTGTTTGTTTTTTTCTCTGTGTAGCCCTAACTGTCCTGGAATTTGCTCTGTAGACCAGACTGGCCTCGAATTCAGAGATGGGCCTGCCTCTGCCTCCCAAGTGCTAAAATTAAAAGTGTGTGTCATCAGTGCCCTATTGAGAGGTTTTAAAATAGAAAAATATTGCATTTAAACACTCTAAGAAAGTAGAATCAATTGATATGTGTGGTGATAAGAACAATGTTGAGGCCCTGATCTGTGTTGTTCTCAACCTGGGTCATGGAAGTTTCTTCTCCTTCCTCTTCCTCTTCTTCCTTCTTTTCTCCTTCTTCCTCCTCCTCCTTTTTAAGAGTTATGTGGTTCTTGTATATAAGTGCTCTGTCTGTAAGTATATCTACATTCCAGAAGAGGGAATTGGGTCTCATTATAGATGGTTGAGAGCCACCATGTAGTTGCTGCAAATTAAACTCAGGTCCTTTGGAAGAGCAGCCAGTGTTTTTTGTTTTGGTTTGTTTTTCCAAGACAGGGTTCCTCTGTGTAGCTTTTTTTTTTTTTACCTGTCCTGGAACTTTCTCTGTAGACCAGGCTTTCCTGGAACTCACAGAGACCCACCTGCCTGTGTCTCCTAAGTGCTGGATCAAAGACCATCACCACCCGGCTTGCAGCCAGTGTTCTTAACTGCTGAGCTATCTCTCCAGTCCCAGAGAAACCACTTTTTCTTTCAGTGGGTAGCAGTTAATGCAGAGACTTCTAGTTAGTTCAAGTAGTAAAAATAAGTGACTATGAGTGCTCATGTTTAAATGGGACAAATCTATCACCACCCTGCCCTCCAGGTTCATGAAGCATTGAAGAAGAGGGAGCAGAGAGAATGTAAGGGCCAGAGATGGGCAGGAGTGTTATAAAATGCATTCTGCAGACATGGCCATTGCACTCATGAACTCAGCACAAGATCAATATAGCCAAAATTCTAGTATGGGCGAGGCCAAGACTCACCAGGCCTCACTCTTAGCTGAGGACTTGCTGCCACTTAATGGCTGCCATGGAACACAGAATCATTTTTCTTTGGAGGTGTGGCCACTAGTAGGTCACCCATGTTCTAGTAGATGACCCACACCCACACACATACAGGCAGCAATAATTGGACTAAGAGGGTTTCAAAAGGAAGAGGAATCAGACCTAGTGACATGAGCCTTTAATCCCAGCACTCTGGAGACAGAGGCCCATGGATCTCTTTGAGTTTAAGATTTAAGGCCAGCAAGGGCTACTAGTGTCACTATGTAGCTCTGGCTGTCCTGGAACTCATCATGTAGAGCAGGCTGACCTCAAACTCACAGAGATCTGCCCAATTTTTCCTCCCAAGTACTAGGATTAAAGGCATACGCCACTATACCCCTTTGTGGAATGTCAGTTTAAAATGTGTTATAGCCAGGCAGTGGTGGCATGTGCCTTTAATCCCAGCACTCAGGAGGCAGAGGCAGGTAGATCTCTGTGAGTTTGAGGCCAGCCTGGTCTACTGAGTAAGTTCCAGGACAATAAGAACTACACAGAGAAACCCTGTCACAAAAGACCCACTCCCACCCCCAAAAAGAAAAAGTTTCCATGTATTTATTTGGGAGCTGATTGGTGGGCCCCAAAGAGTAAAACAACAAAAAACCAAGTACAATACCCTGTTATGATTATAAACATATTTTGAGACATGGTCTCTCTATATAGCCCTGGCTGCCCTGTAGCCTGGTTGTCCTGGAGTTCACTATGTAGACCAGGCTGCCTCCAACTCACAGAGATCCTCCTGCCTCTGCCTCCTGAGTGCTGGGATTAAAGTGTGTGCTACTTCACCTGTACCTGTATGCACTTTTTAAAAGAAAATCTAGAGATTAGCTGAGTGATGGTTGTGGTGCACACCTTTAATCCCAACATCTGGGAAGCAGAAATAAGCAGATCTCTGTGAATTCCAGGCCAGCCTGGTCTACAAAGCAAGTCAGGACAGCCAGGGATGTTACACAAAGAAATTCTGTCTCAAACTTCCCCCACCACAAAACAAAGCAGCTAGAGATGGAGGCTGAGAACAGACATGGAGATGGGAACAAATTGTTTCCTATTTTCTAATGGATGAGGTGGTTATTTGTTGTGGCTTAGATAGGAAGTATTTCCAATAGGTTCACATGTTTCATCCTCATACTGTTTTGGGAGATTGTGGGATCTTTAGGATGTGGACCTTTACTGGAGGAAACAAGTTGCTAGGGCCTCCTTTTATATCAGCTTCTATTCTGACCTAAGTCCTTTATTTCCTGGTCCACTGACATGTGAGCAAGCAGCCTCATGCTTGTTACTTCAGAGGCCATGCCTTCCCCACCACAATGGACTGCACTTTCTCAGAACTACGTGCCACAATGGATCCCCAGTTGCTGCTTTCTGGTTTTTTGTCAAAGTAACTAATACAGAAAATCAGCACCAGGAAGTATAATCTTTATTGTGATAAACCCAACCATTGTATCATAAGCCTTTCTAACTGGTTCATAGAAAGAACGTGGATGAATTTGAAGCTGCGTGCTAGAGAAGTTCTGGGGTGCTATAGCCGAACTTACTGGCTATTCTGACAAGTTTAGAAGACCAAACTGTCAATGCAAATGCAACCAGTGGAGGCTAAGCTCCTGAGGTTTCAGAGGGGAACAAGAACTCTACTGGGAATTAGAGAAGAATACCCGTGTTTCATTATAATGGAGGGACTCTATGCTGCTAAAGGCTCATATGTTAGCTGTCAATCTAGGGAGTTCAAGAGCAACACAAGATTCAGTGGCATTGGTGTATACGAACCTTATCCCTGCTACACAAGAATGAAGATGATAAGGGGGAAGGCTCCAATCGGATGAAACTCAGAGACAAAGCAGGCCACCTTACCAGAGATGCAAGACTGACTAAAATGACTGTTTTCCTCCCATATATAATCTGCTGGCTGAAAATGAGGTGTTGGGGTGGGGGAAGACGTTTGAGCTTTAGGACACTGAGTCACTCTTTTCAGACTGCTGGCTTTCATCATAAAACAAATTTGGTTCCTGGTTTTTGATTGTGTCAGGTAGCAGCGACTTACAAATGGGGCTTTCCCATCAATTCCTGTTCCTGCATGTATATTTCACTCTGCTAAACCAACAGGGTCAGTTTGCTTTCAATTCCTGTGTTAGAAGTGCTAAGAACTACTTTGTTTTATTTTATGTGCACTGGTGTTTTGCCTGTATGTACATATGTGAGGGTGTTAGATTCTGTGGAGCTGGAGTTATAGACATTTGTGAGCTGCCATGTGGTTGCTAGGAATTGATCTTGGACCCTCTGGAAGAGCAGCCAGTGTTCCTAACACTCAGCCATCTCTCCAGAACTACTTTAATAAGTAGATAATGGGGTACTGGATCAATAGCCCAGTGATTAAGAGCACTAGCTGCTCTTCCAGACCAACCAAGGTCCATTCAATTCCTAGCATCCATATGGCAGCTCACAACCCTCTTATAGCTCCAGTCCCAGAGGCTACAGTGCCTTCTTTTGGCCTCCGAGGGCACTGCACAAATGTGGTGCACAAACATGCATGCAGGCAAAACATGTATACACACAAAATAATTTTAGCTTTTAGTATAAAAGAATGGTAGTTTTGGTACTGTCAATCATTTTTCTCTTCAGTTAAATTACAAAACTCAAAGTTCTCCTGACAGTTCAATCAGGCACACCACTAATTTTGCTGAAAGCAAAAATTCCCCAAACAACATTTGGCTTGCAAAAGAATTTGTAATCCTATTATAATGAAGTAATTCTCACATGTCAAGTGACATACTGATTACTCTCAGGTGGATGAATTTAGGCACAGCTGAGAAATTTGAAGCCTTGTTAATCTCAACACATCTTTAGCATTTACAATTTCACCATAATTTAAATATTATTTTAGTTGGTGCTACAGATTTAGCTCAACTCATTAGAAATGATTATGCAAATTAGCAACATCAGTTTTTAGAAACTATTAACCAAATTGTGTTTACTTTTGGTCAGAAAAATTCTGACTTCTCATGTAAATTCAGTGTATTTACATGGGTCAAAATGACCTCATTTCATTAATTATTTCCAAGGCAAAAAATGGTACTGAGCTGTGTGTGTGTTTGAAATAAGGTCTTGTTGAGATTCCAGGCAGTGGCCCCCAAGCCCATCCTCCCTGCTTGAGGTTAGAAATGTTATCCATAGTTGCCTTGTCTCAGAACACAACGACAATATGCCTCCTCTAACTGGACTTTGGGAGGATAAGATGAAATGTGTAAATAAAAAGTCCTCAGCTCTTTAATGTTCAGCTCTTTAATAGTTCTGGAGTCAGTACTTCCCAAGACAAACCATATGACCCCAGCTGAAATGCCTTGTCTGGGAAGTTATCCCAGGGGTGCTCCGATGCTCCTTTAACCTTTTGAACAGCACTGAATAGAAGAAAAGGGAAGCTTTATAGCTCCTCCCATCCTTCCCAGATACTTCTAGGTGGGAGTGGGGCCCCCCCTGTGAGTTTCCGCTAAACCTGGCTACCAGCCCGCCAGCGAAACACCAGTAAGCACAGCAGTCCACAGCCTTCTGGGGCAACAGCAAGACAGACGGCGACCACGCGGACCCTCCCGGGAAAAGATCCGGAACCTTTGAGTTGGAGTCACGGGCGCAGAGTCCGGAGGGATGTTTCAGGTGCACCTCCGCTCGGTCTTCGGGCCGGAAGTGAGGAAGGTGGGGCTTGTCTTAATTCTAGCAGAAATAAGTAGGTCCTGAGGGAGTAAGGAAGGGGAAGAATGTCTTTGTGACACTGCTAGCAGCGCTGAGGGGATGGGAGTCTGAAAAGGCTGTCGGCGGTGGGAGGGGGACCCATATCACTGCGACACCGCTGGCTCTCTGAGGGACGCGTGTCGGTGTGGGACCGGTGCACGCTGAAGGAGCGGGTGGGATTGGGTGACCATGGGGATGTGGGCATCGGTAGGCGCTATGTGGGACTTCCCTGCGGAGAAGCGAATCTTCGGGGCGGTGTTGCTCTTTTCCTGGACCGTGTATCTTTGGGAGACCTTCCTAGCACAGCGGCAGGTGAGCACAGACGGCCTGCCCTGACCCCAGCCCCGGGACAGCCTTAGGTTAGACTGTGCCTCGACCCAAGCCCCTAGTAGCACCAAGTCTGTATTCCTTAACTCTCAGTGAGCTTCGTAATGTTTTGGGGGGGTTTTGTTTTGTTTTGTTTGTTTGTTTGTTTTAACCAGCGCCGACTGTGGCTTTGAAGTTATCTGCACCGTCGTATTGGGACCCAAGCATGTTAGCGTCTAAGGAAAGGAAAGAGCTGCCCTCTGTCAAACTTGAGTCTATCTGTGCCTGCACTACGGCACCTTAGGATCCTTGGGCCCAAGCTTGACCCCCTTTATCATTGGTATAAGCTTTCGAAAGGGAAATGCTAACATTTTAGGAAACAGCTTCCCATGACGTTGATATTGCCATGCTGAACCGCAGGATTAGGAAACATTTCTTTTTTTTCCTGAAAATGTTTTGTAAGTCCTAAAGGCCCGCACAGTTTTTCAAAATCCTCATTAGTGCATATGTGGTTTGGAGTCCCAAATATTTATGTGTTTCTTTTTTTTTTTTTTTATTAAAATATCTCTCGTGTTTTTGTTTAAATTTTTAAGTAGTGCAATGGGAAAGCTAACAGTTCCTGGATATAGCCATAGGTAACAGATTGATTAGAAATTTGAATGAAGTGAGATGACTTTGTAACTGATGGTTTTTCAGTGCCTTGCTGCCGGTTGGCTTGGCTTAATCTTCTTTGTGCTGTCCTTGAGACCCTTTCCCTTTAACTGCTGGACCTGTTTCTTGAGCATTGCAGCCTTTTTCTCCTGCAGTTTGCTTTTAATTTACGTCGTGTATGAGGTTATTTGCCAGGCAAGAGTTCTTCCACGGACCTACTTCCCCAGCCCTTCATGGATCTCTTAAATTGCAAGCTCATTTAAAAAACAGACAAACTTGTCAGCATCAGGCTTATGCCTCAGCCTCCTCCTTTAGTATATCCCAAGTGATGAAATTACTTCAGCTGGGTACTTAAAGCTTCATTGGTTTATACTTGCATAAGCACCCTTACCTGCAGCAAACACACGGCATGTGGTGTCAAAACAGCAGGCTGAGATACTGAGCAATTATCTGATACAGTTTACTAATAAGCCTAGTTACATCTTTGTAGGGTTATTCCTTAATGCCTCCAGGTGGTTTTGTTTGTTTGGTGTTTTTATGTTGTTGTTGTTGCTGCTGCTGCTGCTTAACATATGGTTAAAAAAATAAAAGTATTTGTTTAAAATCTGGTCTATTATATCTTTTGGTATCTGTTCCCTGTGTTACGTCCTAGGGGCTGAAATTACCTTTTAGAATTTGACTTAATGAGAAAAATTGTTGTAAGGATTTGATATGTTTCTGTCACTGCTCTATTCCTTAATTTGACCTCTAGGACAAAATTTAATGATCGTCCTTTATTTTATTAAGTATATCTGTTAATGTGTGAAGTGAGCATCTTCTCTTTTTTCATACATTATTTTCTGTGTTGTAATATATATGTCATACTCGGAATGAGCAGTCCCCTTAGGATGTTACAAATTTGATTCACACAGGCAAACAAATTGTGCTGAAAACCCAGATGGCCATTCCACGTAGGGCCTTGGAATCTTTTTGTTGGCTCTTTCCTGTGTCACCTGTTTCAGTGGTCAGGGTCCCTGACTGAATACAGTTTACACCTATATGTAATAAATTCTACAAGCTTACTTGACAGACTGATACTGCAGACAAATATTCATTAAAGTGTTTTCCTCAAAATATTTCAGAGAAGGATATACAAAACCACAACTCGAGTACCAACAGAATTAGAACAGATCATGGATTCGGACACATTTGAGAAATCTCGACTGTATCAACTGGATAAAAGTACATTCAGCTTCTGGTCAGGACTCTATTCTGTGGTGGAAAGCACTGTGAGTAATTTATTTCTTGGAGACACAATTCTCGGGTTGTTTAATACTTTGTAATACTTGTTTTTGCATTTTGTGATGCAAAGGTAACAATGCCTTCAAATGCTAGAATGCCTTCTTAAAACTTTTGTATTTGGGGCTGGAGAGATGACTCAGCAGTTAAGAAGAGCACTGCCTGCCCTTCCAAAGGTCCTGAGTTCAATTCCAAGCAACCAATTACATGGTGGCTCACAACCATCTGTAATGAGATCTGGTGCCCTCTTCTGGCCTTCAGGCATACATGCAGGCAGAACACTATACATAATAAATCTTTAAAAAATTTTGAAAAAAAAATTTTATATTTATTTACTTTGACATTGTCTTAATGTACCATTATTGTGAAGAGACATCATGACCACAGCAACTTTTACTCATTTTTCGAGACAGTTGGGGTTTCTCTGTGTTGCCCTGGCTGTCCTGGAACTTGCTCTATAGACCAGGCTGGCCTGCCGAGTGCTGGCATTAAAGGCGTGCACCACCACACCAGTAACCACAGCAACTCTTATAAAAGGAAGCATTTAAATGGGGCTTGCTTATGGTTTCAGAGGTTAGTTCATTGTCATCATGGCAGGAAGCATGGTTGCATGCAGCATGGTACTGGAGAAGGAGCTGAGAGTTCTACATCCAGATTTACAGGCAGCAGGAAGAAAGAGTAACACTGGGTCTGGCTTAGGCTTTTGAAACCTCAAAGCCCACCCTCAATGACACACTTTTTCCAACAAGGCCACACTCACACCCCCCAATTCTTCTCAAGTAGCCCCACTCACTGATGACTATGCATTCAAATAAATGGGTCTTTTAGGACCAATCTTTTTTCTTTTCAAGACAGGGTTTCTCTGTATTGCTCTGTGGACCAGGCTGGGATTAAAGGTGTGCGCTACCACTCCCTGGTTCGTCCTCCTCGTTCTCTTCCTGCTTTTGCTGGAGATTGAGCTAAAAACCTTTTATAAGCTAAGCTGCTTTGGACTTTATCCCCACATGACCATGATAAAATGACAAGAAAAGCATTTTCAGTTTTTCTGTGATTGTCACTGGCAACTAAGTAGTTGCCAGAGAGATGTCCAATAGTTGGGTGATGTTGGTGATCATGGGAATGGTCGTGTGTTGTAGGTGGTGATAGGTACATTAGAGTATGAATTTTACAGTGTGCTGAGGCTCACCTCTTAGCAGTACTGATGAACTAAAGCTGGTTATGATTTTCATCTCATCCAGTGTCTATGTTTATTATTTGATATTTATGACAGCAAAGTAGAGGGATGGCATTTTCCCCTTTACTGGGCAGAAATGTAGGCTCAGAGAAATTAAACAGCCATTTAATGGCCAAGTGGGAGAACACTTTGCCAGGCTGGTCTACAGAGTGAGGGAACATTGAGTTTACCTCCCCTCCTCCCCCCCCCCAAATACACTTTTGCCTTTGTTCTTTGTACCTGAGAAAAACTTGTATAACCAATCATGACTACTTTCCACATAAACACTAGGGGAAATGCCCAGACTTTCTGAGGCATTTAGCTGATATCTCACAGATATCCTTTAAGAGCCCTTCCAAGAAATGGAATGGCTAACACTGTGACACTGTGCTCTGTAATCCTAGCCACCTAAGAGTTGAGGCAGGAGGATCACTGAGAGATGGAGACTGCCCTGGGCAGTATAGCAAGGCTGTTACAAGCACTATCAAGAACTATTATGGTAGTGGATGAGAAGAATGGAGTAGAAAAGCTCAGGTTTACAGTGTTTTTGCATGTGAGCTTGAGCATGTTTAGAGACCAGAGGTTGACAGTGAGTGTCTTCCTCAGACTCTTCTCCATCTAATTGCTTGAGACAAGGTCCCTAACTGAATCTGTAGATAACCAGTTGGGTGGACTAGATGGCCAAAGAGCTCCATGGACCCTCCTGCTCACCTCCCTAGCAGTGGGATTATAGGCTTGAGCCCCTGGGCCTGGATTTTTATGTGGGTGTTCGGATTCCAAAGTCAGGTCCTCATGTTTGTATAGCAGACAAACACTGTGCTCACTGAGCACTTCTCAGCACTTTAGGTTTCCTCCCATCCCCTTCTAGTCTCTGGTGACTACTATTTTATTTTCCCCTATGAGACTGATTTTTTTAAAATCTTTTAAAAATTATTTATTTGTTGGTGGTGGTGGTGGTGGGGTGTGTGTGTGTGTACATGATTGGGGTTAATACATGTGTGCCACAGTGTACATGTGGAGGTCAGAGAATCAGGTTTTTTTTTTTTTTTTTTTTTTTTTTTTTGTTTTTGTTTTTTGATACAGGGTTTCTCTGTGTAGTCCTGCCTGTCCTGAAACTCAATCTGTAAACCAGGCTGACTTCAAACTCACAGAGCTCCACTGTTTCTGCCTCCTGAGTGCTGGGATTGAGGGTGTGTGCCCCCACCAGAGGACCAGTTTTGGAAGTCAGTCGTCTTCCTCACTGATTCCAGAGGTCATCAAGGTTATGTGGCAAAGTCCCTTTGCTCACTGTCATCCTGCTGGCCCTATGTTAATTTTGTTTTAACTCCCAAAAGTGAGTGTGACCCCTGGGCTTGTCTTTTAAACAGGTTTTTTGAAATGTAATCCAGATACCATATAGTTTGCCCTTATTCAGTGTAAGGCAAAAGTATCTTGGTAGTGTAAACTTAGTGTCTCAGTAGTTTGTGTTCTTCCAAATTCGTATTTTATTCTAAATGACTTAGCCCCCCCCCTTCCCCGTAACTTACTCATTTTCCTTATACCAGTCTTTCATATGATAGTTGCTAGGACTGTTTAAATGTGACTGTAATCTGCTTGTTTTGCAGCTTATTCTTCTCTTTGGAGGAATTCCTTACCTCTGGGGACTTTCTGGACGGTTCTGTGGTTCTGCTGGCTTTGGACCAGAGTATGAGGTATGTGATTCCTTTGTCCAGATTGGTCAGTCTTCATTTTGCTTGGTAAGCTTTACACTGAAGTTGCCTTTTTTTTTTCTTCCACCATCAATAGACTTAGCCTCTCAGTCTCTGCAGTCCTTGTTGGTGCATGTATATTAGCATGATGCCAATGTTCCATGACAAAAAAATTATGACCAAAGCAGCTTTTAAAAGAAAGCATGTAATTTGGGACTCCCATTTCAGAGGGTGAGTCCATACCATCATGCCAGGGAACGTCAGCAGGGCAGGCATGATGGTGGTGTAGTAGCTGAGAGTGTACACAAACAGGAGGCAGTGGCACACCTCTTCCAGCAAGCCCATGCCTCCTGCCGACTGGGGACAAACATTCAAATGTATGAACCTATGGGGCCGATAGCATTCAACGACCACAGCTAGTTACTATAACTCCAGAATTCTAGTGGCTTTTCAGTTTATTTCCCAATCACATAATAGCTAGTATGAGTATTTTTGGTTAGCAGGTGACTTTGTTGCATGTGGTGAGGCAGGGAGTCAGTTTGTTTTTATTTTATGCATTTGTCATCCAGTGACAGTGGGAAGGACATCCCCTCTTTTTAACTTCTGTAATGCTAAGGTTGTGATGTGGTACAGTCGCATTACATGGTGAAGCAGTATTTGATCTTATCCAGATGGAAAGGAGCTGGGAAATGTAGTCTTGATTAGGCTGCTGTTTCTTAGAAACAACCCTGTGTGTTGACAGGGGTATATACCTTTCAGTCTGTGGAACTCATACTTAGCAGATACATCTGTGGCATACATAGTAAGCAGACGCTTCAAACGAAGGCAGAAAGTTTATCTCCTTAAGTGAATTCTCCGTCTATAATGGGTGCTGCAGCCCTGCTTCCTGACTTTCTCTGGAAGCTGCCAAGTCAATTACTTCCTTCCTGACTCTTTATTGAACATCATGGACCTGCTGTGTGGATAGGTACTCTTGGCTTTAAGTCTATGTCTCGGCAGCTGCTTCCCAAGATTAGATTGTTCCACAGCAGCTCTTCTCATCCTGTTCCCCTTTCCATATACCATTTTCTAAAGCACCAGGTCTCGTGTGTGTGTGTGTGTGTGTGTGTGTGTGTGTGTGTGTGTGTGTGCGCGCGTGTGTTTGTGTTAGAGGACAGCTTGCAACAGTCAATTCTCCCTTCTATCATTTGGGCTCTAGGGCTTGAACTCAGATAATTAGATTTGATGGGAAGCATCTTTACCCATCGAGTCATCTTGCAGGCTCAGAACAGCCTGCAAGTAGATATTCTTTGTTGAATGAGTAAACACAACTTCTACACCTGCCACTAAGAAATACTTACGTCTCGCTAGGGAAAGTAGTGCAGCCCATATGCACATGTATGTCGGGACATTCACTGGGGCATGGGCAACTGATGGCTGCTCTCCCCTCCAGCCCTGACAAAGAAAAGTGACTTTCTCCCCCTCAGCAGACATTAACTGCCATTAGCTCTTCAGCTAGGGGTGAGCCTTTATCTTAATGGGATGCATTTTGTATTTAATGACTTAGGTTTTTTTCCTGTTGGTCTATATAGCTAGGCCTTAGTTCGTTTCTAGCTGCATGATAGTCCTCACTTGTGTAGTTCTGATATATACAAATGTAAGTTACTATAGTTTAGTTGTGACACCAGCTCCTCAACACTGTGGCTCAAATTTCAGTTACCATGGTGCATTATATAAATAGTTACATAAACTACAGACTTCCCTGTTAGCAGTTGAGTATACAGATCATGATATAAGCGGTAATCAGGACCAGTCGGATCAGTATTTTCACCAGTCTAAATGATCAGTTGCTGTAAGGAGTACGGTTTTTCCTCCCGCCTCTTGTCCCGCTGCCGCGCCAGCTCCAATTAACACACCGAGACCTGAATTTGATATAATTTTGTTGGCCTGTTAACTTGTTTTGTTGGCCCGTTCATTTCAACAGGTTGCTCCACAACTGTTATTCAGTTATTCTGAGCGGGATTGTCTTTCAGCAGAAGCGCAAACACATTTATAAAATGCGTAGTCGATGTGGGTGCAGGCCTGTGGTCTCAGTTACATGGAGGCTGAGGCTGGAGAATCACTTGAGTTCAGACATTCAAGACATGACTGGACAGCATAGTGATATGGGGTGTGTGTGTCTGTGTCTTGTGTGTGTGAGAGAGACATAGAGAGAGAGAGAAAGAGAGAGATCTAGATAGCAAGATGGAGTTGGCTAATGAACATGCAACAAAGAAATGAAAAGTTATGACCCTGAAGGTGAGGTTCGGGTCTGACTTAATGCACTGTATTTTAGAGAGAGTGCGGCAGACTGCGGGAGTGTCAGTGCTCTCACTGCCAGAGACTGGGTAGACACACAGCAGAACTGTGTGGCTACAACCCAGTTGACACAGATGTAGGCCATGGTTGTGATGAAAGGATGGAGACATCCCAGAACTAGAGGTACTATAAAGCCCCTCACGTAAGGAGGGCCTTTCGGGATATTTCACTTTGAAGTTCAAAGGATAAAACATTAAAGAGCTGATCTTACCTTAGCTGTATGACATCTCTCCGGGGGAGCTGTTCATGCTATAAGATGCACAGGGAGGCGCTGAGCATTGTTTAAATTCCCTTGGAATCACTGTAAAAGAAACTGAAAGAGAAGCTGGTCCTGGATGTTTCCCAGTGTTTATTTTTAATGTGCATTGGGCCTTGCTTGCAAGTATGTCTGTGTGAGGGCATCAGATCCCCTAGGGCTGGCATTACAGACAAATGTGAGCTGCCGTGTGGGTGCTGGTAATTGATCTTGGAACCTCTGGAAGAGTAGCCAGTGTTCTTAATCGGTAAGCCAGGTTTGATTTCCAGCACCCACATGGCAGCTCACAACTGTAACTCCAGTTCCAGAGGATCCCATGCCCTCTTCTATCCTTTTCAGGCACCAGATGCACACATAGTGCACAAACATATTTGGGTAAAACTCCCATATACATAAAATATTTTTTATCTACATATACAAAAAAATTATTTCATATATCTTATTCAGTGGTTATAAAGCAATAATAGCTAAGTGATGACATCCTTAGTCATAACTAAAGATGAATATTATTATTGTCCTGGAGATGAGCCCCCTTTTTTTTTTTTTTTTTTTTTTTTTTTTTTGTTTTTCAAGACAGGGTTTTTCTGTGGATGTCTTAGAACTTGCTCTCACTCTGTAGACCTCAAACTCAGAGATCCATCTGCCTCTGCCTTCGGAGTTATGGGATTAAAGGGTGTACCAGCACTGCCCAGGTTTTGTTTGTAATGATTATTTGTATTGATTAATTTTTCTCTCCTTTATTTTTTAACTTTTTATTGATTCTTTGTGGATTTTACGTCATGCATCCTGGTCCCACTCATTTCCCTGCCTCATCACCTCTGCTCTCTGTTCCTGTGACCTATCCCCCAAAACAAAACAAAATTTAAAAGTCTAGCCTGAAAACAAAAAAGCAAAGAAAATCTTGGCGTGGAAGCGGTAGTGTGGCCCAGTGAGTCTCACAGCGTACCCCTGTAAGTGTTCTTTGCCGTGGATTGTTGGTCTGGCTTCTGCTACTCTGGGACTCCTCTTGGATATCCTGTTGTTAATTCCTGTATCATGGAGATCCATGCTATAGCTTTGGATCTGCAGATCTGGCCCCTTCACATGCTCTGGCAGTTCATAGATGAAGTGGATGTTGAGGTGGGCTGACTCATAGCCCTGGTTCTGGACCTTTTAAATGTCATTTCTTTCTTCCCCTCAGTAGACTCAAAGTTGCACCAGCTCTTAAAATGTTTCTTGAATTCAGCTAGGCATGGTGTCACACCTTTATTCCCAACCCTGGGGAGACAGAGGCAGTTGGATCTTTGTGAGTTTGAAGCTATCCTGGTCTTCATAGTCAGATAGTGAGTCCTCTGCCAGCCAGACCTACATAGTGAGACCACACACACAACAATACCAAGAATAATTTTTTCTTGAATCCAACTAGCATACATTGCTTTCTCTCTTTTCTGAATACTACCAACAATTTTGTGCCTATGATTTAGGGCTGCTTTCAAATCATGTCTGTTCTTCCAAGTAGATTCCCCAGGGCGGGATGCTGTTACAGGCTTGTTCTCCACAAGATCAAGTGCATTGCTTGGGATACAATAAGCACTTAGTGCATACTTGCTGATTTATTTTTTTTATTTTTATTTTTTTCTTGTGCTTAGATCATTCAGTCTTTGGCATTCCTGCTGTTGGCCACACTCTACAGTGCACTGACTGGCTTGCCATGGAGTATGTATAATACTTTTGTGATAGAAGAAAAACATGGCTTCAATCACCAGGTATAATTGAAATTATCAGGGGGTTTTGTTGTTGTTGTTTCTGTATTAAGATTTGTTTGTTTGTTTGTTTGTTTGTTCTGTATACAGTGTTCTGCCTTCATGCCAGAAGAGGGTACCAGATCTCATTATAGATGGTTTTGAGCCACCATGTGGTTGGTAGGAATTGAACACAGGTCCTCTGGAAGAGCAGTTACTGCTCTTAACCACTGAGCCATCTCTCTAACCCAATTATCAGGGATTTTAATATGAAGATTTTCTGTGCTTAATCCTATGCTGGCAGTAATTTAGGTATAGTTTGCCATTAAGCATGAATCAACTGAGGAAACAGAAACCACAGATATGGCAAAGATCTTAGTTTAAGGTCTTGATAGAAACAGAAGCAAATGCTTAGTGCTTTTCAGCTAATATCAATTATATTATCTTAAATTATGAAATGCAAGACTTGCTTATTGTCCTAGGCTGCCCAGTGTCCTCTAACACAGCCTCACTGCATGCTGATCTTAAAATTGCTTTACTGAGGTGCTTTGTGTTTACTTACTGCTGTTTAAAAAGCAAACCAGTTCCTCGTTTAATAGTGGTAATATTTTCTTTTTTCAGACTTTGGAGTTTTTTATGAAAGACACAATCAAAAAATTTGTTGTGACTCAATGTATTTTATTGCCTGTGTCTTCCCTTCTGCTTTACATTATTAAAATTGGAGGTGATTACTTTTTTATTTATGCCTGGTTGTTCACCTTAGTTGTTTCTCTGGTAAGTAAATGCTATATTTTCATTTATTTGAGAATTTTATATATGGGTTGTCTTAGGGTGTCTATTTCTATGAAGAAGCACCTTGACCACAGCCGCAACTCTTACAAAGGAAAAAATTTAGTTGGGTGGCTTACATTAGTTCAGAGGTTCAATCCATTATCATCACAGTGGGACATGATATACAGGCAGACATGGTGCTAGAGAAGGAGCTAAGAGTTCTACAACTGATTGATAGGCAACAGGAAGTGATCTGAGACTCTGGCCATGGCTTGAACATATATGAGCCCTCAAAGCTCACCCCCACAGTGGCACATTTCCTCCAAACAAGGCCAGGACCTACTCCAACAAAGCCATACCTCCTAATAGTGCCACTCTATAGGAGCTTATGGGAGCCAATTACATTCAAACTACCACAGGGTACTATATTTACATTGTTCTCTCCTTCCCTCTCCTCCAATTCTTCCTATGTCCCTCCTACTTCTCAAACTCACAGGCTCTTATTCTTTAATTATTTCATTTTCTTTGCAAAAATTCCCAAAGATTACTAGGATTCCATTTTCATTGCCATGTAAGTAGTTCCTAAGAAAAGGTTACAGTATAACCAACTGCCCGTATATGTTATGAGCCATTTTCCTGCCAGCCTGGTCCCACAGCCATGTCAGCCCCAAATATAACATACAGAGACTCTATATTAGATATAAAGCTGTTGGCCTGTTACTAGCAGTTTCTTATTGACTAGCTCTGTCTTAAATATTAACCTATTTCTATTAATCTAAGTATTTCCAAGTGGTCTTACCAGAGAGAGGGTCCAAACCTCTTCTCTCAAGTCCCTACATCTTGACTCTTCTCCTACATCTCCCAGAATCCTCCTTGTCTCCTAGTCCTGCCTATCTTGCCTTTCTATTGGCCAACAGTGCTTTATTCATTAACCAAAAGAGAAATATATTTACAGAATGACATCTCCCATCACATATGTATTTTCCTCTCAGTTCCTGCTTTGGGATATAAAACTGATCTACCATATGTTTTCTTCTCTTTGTGCTGACTCTTACATTTGCCAAAGCTAGCTGCTAGTCACTTTTCATGATCTGACTGCTTGGCAACTGGGACTGAACATTTGTAAGTTTGACCAGAATGGATGCCTTTTGACTCATAGTCCTTCCTCCATCCCCCAGTACCTAAAAAGCCTTAATGTTTTGAAGAAAAATAGATTTATGACAGACAAGAAATCATAGAGCTGAGGATGTAGCTCAGTTGATAGAGTACTTGTCTAGCATGAGGCCCTGGGCTCAATCCCCAGTACTTCATAAAGCAGGTATAGTAGTGCTCTTGGGAAGTGAAGACAGGAAGATCAGAAGTTTAAGACCATCCTGAGCTATATATTTTGTCCAGCCTGGAGTAGAGACTCTGTCTCCATAAAAATAAAGCTCATGCTTTACTTTCCTGGCTTTCTCCTGCCCTTCCTTCCCTGTTTTCCCTTCTAATGTATCCCTTTCCTCCTTTCTTTTATTTATTTAATTAATTGTTTTGTTGTTGTTTTAAAGAAATACCTTGCTATTCAGTTCAGGCTGGCTACAGTTAGTGTATGGTCTAGATTGGCAATCCTCCGTCTCAGCCTGCTGAGTTCTTATTGGCATGTGCCACTGTGCCCCTCCTCCCTTCTCTCCCCTTTCTCCTTTACCCACTCTCCACCCTTTCCTTCATTCTCTTCTTTCCCCTTTCTCTTCCCAACTACCGCCTCCTGTCCACCCCTCCCTCCTTTCCCTCACCCCCATTTTCCCTCTTGTACACCCCCTTTTCAGTTTCTCGTATTCTAAACTGCTTCATCGCACAGACATTGAGTCATACAATGGAGTGGGGTGTTCACAGACCTAGAAAATAACATCTGTCAGTTCTTCATCTCCATTGGTGATGAGGGCTATTTCCATTTGTTCATGGATTTGCAAAGACCTATAGTATGGCAAACTGGAGTAGGAGCAGAGAGCTGAGGAAACCCTCCAGAAGTGCCATTTCAAGCAGAGTAAACAAGAGTGTATATTATAACTGCCTTACAGTGCCCGAAATCCCCAAGAAACAGCTGTTGATTGGCCCCAGAGCTCTTTTTCACAGTTAGTGGCTTTGTTTTCTAAAATTAAGTTGACTTGCTTACTGTGCTATCACACTGCTACTTTGATGTAATTTACTAAATAGACACTGCCCCAGGTGTTGGTTGGGTGAGCATAATTGTATCACATAATTGGATTTCTTAATAATGAGCAGTTTTTTGTTACTTAATTTTCAGGTTCTGGTCACAATTTATGCTGATTACATTGCCCCGTTGTTTGACAAATTCACACCTCTCCCTGAAGGAAAGCTTAAACAAGAAATTGAAGTGTTGGCAAAGAGTATTGACTTCCCTCTGACTAAGGTGTATGTTGTTGAAGGTAAGACTACCTGGATGTGAGAAGGCTTTATCAGGTGGTTTGTTTTGAGCACTTTATTCATAAATCAACCTTTATTGTGTGTTTTTAATTTGTTACCTAAAAAATAGGATAAGATTTTACATTTGGCTTTTTAAGATTTATAGGAACTGAAGGAGAGAGATGCACAGTAGTTAAGAACCCTGGATGCTTTTCCAGAGGGGCCAGCTTTGGCTTTTAGTACCTACACAATGGCTTATAATTGCCTGTAACACATTTTTTAAAATGAAATAAAAATAAAGAAAAAAAGGTTTATAGAAGCGGCACCATTTTCCAGGGTAGACACTGGTAGCCTGATGCCACATCCTGCTCCTGCCCACAGCTCCATTTGGTAAGCTATAAAGCACTGTTCTTACTCTTTGCTGCATCGTACTGTGCTGCGTAGCAGTAGACCAGTCATTCACCCTGTTATCTGCCTGGCTCGTTGGGTAATTGAGTTGGACTCTTGAATGATCAGCTATATAGCACTAGTTTAGGGTTCTCTTGATTTTGTTTCCCCTAGCAGAACACCAGTGCTCCAGAGGACTCTGCCCTGTGGTACGGTCAGGCACCTCATCTTAGTTAGACAGCTTTTCTAATTGCCTTGGAGAGGTAAACTGCTTCTTAGCTTTCATAAGGCTGCTGAAATTTTGCTGGGTAGTGGTGCAAGCCTTTAATCCCAGCACTTGGGAGGCAATGGTAGTTGGATCTCTGAGTTTGAGGCCAGCCTGATCTACATATCCAGGAGAGCCAGGGCTACCCAGAGAAACCCTGTCTTGAAAAAACAAAGGGGGATAGGGGTGGAGAAAGACTGCTTAAGTTTCAAGGACACCTACCAAGTTTAGAGGAAAACTGTTGCGTGTGTATCAGAATCTATATATTAAAATCTGTATAAAATAAATATAGATGATTCTGTCTCAGCAGCTTACTAGCTGTGGGATCTTAAACAAATCACTTCTCTCTAGCATTCAGCAGTGCTTCCTCTGAACTGTAGTTCTCTGTGTAAAAAAAAAAAAAAAAAAAAAAAAAAAGCAAGCTATTCGCTGTTCAGAGATTGTGGCCAACACTGTATGGCAGAAGCAGCCACAGACAGGGCATGAGCAATTGACCCTTGCTGTGTTCCAGTAAGACCACGTGCAAACAAGCAGCACCTGGATTTAGCCTGAAGCCATCATTTTCTGGTGCCTACTGTAAACTAAAATGTCACCAGTGAGAAGCAAGTGCAAAGTGAAGGGGGAACAAAGGTGGTTGTAACTAGAAGGAGCAGCTAGAAGCAAGCGGTCAGCAACCTGACAGGCCTCTCTGCCAGTCAGGGTGAGGAGTGTGGTTTTTCTTGATGATTGAGACAGCCCAAGTAGCCCCAGCTGACTTGAGAATTACTGTGCAATTGAGGCTAACCTTGAACTCCTGATCCTACTGCCTCTGCTTCGCTAGCGCTGGGATTACAGGTATGAGCCACCACACACAACCAGGAAAAGATCTCGGGTTTCTGTGTGGTGAGTGCATTGTAGGGCAAGGCAAGAATGGAAGCAGAGAGAGCGTAGGAGGCTGTATGTAATCCAGCTTAGAAAGGAAGGGTGTTTTTTGTCGTTTCTTCTGTTTTGCTTTATTTTAGACTAAAGCAATAGTTGATGAAGAGAAACTGTTTCATGTGTTCTAATTGCTCTTAATGATAAAAACCTGGAGCCAGATATGGTTTGAATGCTGAAAGATGAAAGGGACAAAGGAACAAGCCACAGCCACCTCTTACCTAGCAACACCTCAGCTGGAAAGGGGCCTAGGTCCTATCTCCATCCAGCCTTATCACTTCCTGTCTGTACAGATTTCCAGACCTCTGTGGTTAACTAGTGGCTAGCTCCACCCTCTCATCTCCAGGCAAGCTTTATTTGTTAGAGCACAAACAAAATATCACCACAGGAAGCAGGGAACGTTGATGCCATTTGCTAATAGATTACATAGAGGGGAAATAAGGAAGAAACAGTCAAGTGAATAATCAAGGGTAACAAATGCCTAGAGTTGATATGGACAGTCGTATAGATGGGAATAGAATTGGAAGAATAACAGATTTGTAAGGAATTGAAGTTCTCATGTCTGTGTTAGTATTCAGATACCTTTACATATCATCTTACTCACAGCTCTGCAACCAATGGGCTAATTTAAGCAGAAGAATTTCTTATTGAGAGCTACAAAATCTTCAAAAAGCTATTTACCAACCTTGGAAAATAGACTCTTAAATGGGTGGCTTTGAATTCAGAATTGTGGGTAGATCCAGTATGGGGAAATTACTGTTGTTGGCCACTGCAGAATCCTGTATTTGAAGCTTAACATAACTTAACCTCATTGATAAAAGGCTTGCCTTGCAAGTGTGAGGACCTGAGTTTGATCTCCAGATCAGATATAAAAATGCATTGTGTGTGTGTTGGGGGGTGGTTCGTGTCTTTAATCCCAGCACTGGGGAAGCAGAGGCAGGCAGATCTCTGTGAGTTCAAGGCCAGTCTGTTCTACAGAGAAAGTTCTAGGACAGCCAGAGCTACACAAAGAAACTCTGTCTTAAAAAACCTTAAAAAAAAAAAAAAAAAGGAAAAAAAAATGCATTTTACAGTGGCACTCAGTGGTATTCCCTGCACTGGGGAGGTAGAAAGCAGAGGATCCCTGGGGCTCACTATCCCTGGGCCTCTATCTCAAAGGAAGTGGATGGCATTTGTAAGGATAACACCTGAGATTGTTCTGTGACCTCCACATGCACACATATACATGTGCACACATATATGCACTTATACTTTTTTTTTTTTTTTTTTTTGTAGAAAGGATTGAAAAGGTGGCTTAGTGGTTAAGAGCACTTGTTGTCCTTCCAGAGAATCCAAGTTCAGTTCCCAGCACCTACATGGTGACTCACAACTATCTATACTCCAGTTCCAAGGGATCTGACACCCTTTTCTGGACTCTTAGGCACCAGGCACACATGGTGCACATCCATGCATATAAAATAAAATAAATAAGTCTAAAAATAAATTTAAGTAAATTTGTTTTAAAATGGAGCCTTCACAGCTGGCAGCTGTAGAATGAATTCTTGACTGCTTTGCTTCTTTGTGTGATTCTCTGGACTATTCAGAATTCCCAGGGCTCCATCTTACCCACTAAGCTGGTGCATGGGGCTAGTTACAGGAACTGCTGAGGAAGCAAATATCTGGCTTTTAGGTTTCCCAAATAAGAAGTAGTCTCACACAAGACCTTCACTGTGAAATTCCCTCTGACAGGAAATTCCAGTAACAAATGGAAAAAAAAAAAAAAAAAAAAAAAAAAAAAAAAACACAGATTAAAAATATAAACATCCAGGGCCTGGAGAGGTGGCTCAGCAGTTAAGAGCACTTGCTACTCTTCCAGAGGCCCAGAGTTTGGATCCCAGCCACCCATATTGGGTGGCTCACAACCACCTGGAACTCTAGACCCAGGGGATCCTTTGCCCTGTTTTGGCCTTTGCAGACACTCACACATGTGCACACACACACACACACACACACACACACATAATTTTTTTTTAATCTTAAAGACCAACAAGAGAGATGACCCAGTGAGTACAGGACTTGTTACCAAGCCCGAGGACTGAACCGATTGCCTAGAACTTGCATGATAGAAAGAGAGAACAAAGTCCTGAAAATTGTCCTCTGACCTCCACACTTGAGCCATGCTGCATACATAAATGCAAAAAATAAATAAGCTAACAGGGAGCTGCAGAATGGCTCAACATTGAAAAGTGCTTTGAAATCATGAGTAGAGTTTGGACCGGAGTACCCCTCTAGCAAGTCGGACGTCCTAAAAACTTAGCAGCTCTAAGGGCTCTGATACCCTCATCTGGTCTCAGACCCCCCCACCACCACACATACACACATACATTAATTAATTTTAAAATTCCTTACAGAATACAGGCACATTGAAATCTATTGTGGGGCTTCTGTAGCTGCACATTGTTGGAAACCCCTCATATGATAATTGCTTTTGTATTGCACACAGGACCAGTTCCCAGGTCTGGTGAAGGGACTGTAGGACAGCTAACAGCTGATGAAAGCCCTAATCATCCTGGGTAACAGCTTATAAATGAGTGTGAGCTGAACTTGTTCATGTTCAGAGGAGCTGACTGCATTGAGAAGCAGACAAACCCATCTAGCCTAAAAGTGATCCTAAAGGAAATTGCTTAAAGTGAAATTCCATAGTTCTTAGATGGAAATTTTGAAGTTGTGTCCATATGTCCACGATTCAGGTAGAGGGAGAAGAGTCCAAGTAGACCGAAATGATGCCAGGATTTTTTAAAGGACTGTCTTGAAGAGAAATCTTGAATTTAAGTTTAGGAGAAACTAAGGTGACCTTGTTGGGCAAAAGAAGAAGTCACAACTTGTGAGTTTCTTTTTTAAAATAAATTTTATGGGTTGTTTGGGTTTTTTAGATTTATGTATTTTTATTTTGTGTGTATGCATGTTTTGTTCAAATGGATGTCGGTTTACCCCATGTGTGCCTGGTGCCCATGGAAGTCAGAAGAGGGCATTGGATCCCTGGATCCATTGGAACTGCAGTTATAGCTAGTTGTGAATCACCCTATGGGTGCTGGGAATTGACCCTGGTCCTCTGCAAGAGCACGTGCTCCTAACTACTGAGCCAGCTCTCCAGCCCCATGAATTTCCTTAAATTAAAATGTATTTATTTTAAATAGTTGAGTTATTATACTTAAACTCTAAGTTGGAAAATAAGCATATATTTTTGGCTTAGAATTTAGTGTTATTTGTAGAGGGAATAAAAATTAAATTCAGCAATTAAAAACGTAGAATTAACAGATATGTGTGTAGACTTCCAGTGTAGACATGTCACACAGGTGGCTACATACACAAGCCTGGGACTTCAGGGAAAAGCTTATCCTTGGAACATAGGTTTAGAAGTCTCTGGCTCATGGCTGGTGTTTAAGGCCAAAGATGAGGGCAACACCAGGCTCAAAGTTGGCAGAGAGGAATGGACAGCAATGAGGCTAAGTGTACCAGGAGGGTGTGTATGTATCTGTGTCAGGTGCTGCCCAAAGTCCAGTGGAGAGCAAAGTGTGAAGACACGGGTGTGGCGCCTTCATTCACACTGAATCTTTATTCTGAGTTCTCAATGCATTACTTCACTGTTTTACTGGTAGTATTAATTCAGTCAGTAAACAAGCATTATCAAATATACACTACTTGCCAGGCACAGTAGCTTAAAAGATTTACAGTGTAGTACAGAAACTTCTAAATGTTAATTACATATGGGTTCCCTGGAACACTTGTTAAAGACAGGTTCCTGGCTTCCACTCTAGAGACTCTGGCTTGATAGGTGTTGCCAGTGTCTATGATTTTGATGTGGCTCTTCCTTGAACCATACTTGAAGAAGCCTGGACCAATGGGAACTATTGAGACATCAGTTTTATTTGTCTGCATATGATCTGACCACCCCCAACAATAGTTTCAGATGGCATCTAGAAGAGCTGAACTATATGTTACAAGGTGGGAGATGAGGGCTGGGGATATGACCTGGTAGAATGCTTTCTTAGCAAGCATGAGGTCCTAGGGTCCTTCCTCATTTTAGAAAAATAAGTATGAGGGGCTAGAGAGAGGGCTAGACAGTTAAATGTGCCTGTTGTTCTTGAAGTGGAACTGAGTTTGGTTCCCAGAACCCATGATGAATGACCCAGAACTGTAACTCCAATTCAAAGACCCAAAGCCGCCTTCTGGCCTTGTGGTCACCCATACACATGTACACACACACACACACACACACACACACACTTAAAACGAAAGCAGTATGAGAATGATAGCAAAGTTTACCACAGTACTTACAAAATAGACCCATGTGTTTGTTTAACTTCCAGGCAACTATACCCAAAAAAATGATATTATAGTACAATAAATAATAATAGCTACTACTTATCAAGGCTTTACTATATTCTAAACTTACTTCCAAGTGTGTCATATTAGAAATATGAGTAGATGCTTGATGGCTCAGTTGGTAGAATGCTTGCCTAGCATGCACAAGCCCCAGGATCTTATGCCCAGCACCACATAAACTTTCTTTTGTGCCCCATCTATAAACCTAGCACTTGGAAGGTAGAAGCAGGAGGATCCAAAGTTCTCCATTATAGCACTGGTTAATAGTCTGGGATACATAAACCCCCAGAGAAAAATATTTTGTGTGTGTGTGTGTGTGTGTGTGTGTGTGTGTGTGTTAAAAAGTTATGTGTATGTCTGATTATGGGAGATCAGAGACATCAGAACTCCTTGAACTGGAGTTATATGTAGCTCTGATTCACCTGATATGGTGTTAGGAACTGAATTTAGGTTCTCTTCAAGAGCAGTAAGTTTCTGAAATGACAAGTCATCTCCCCAACCCCCTCTACTCCATGGCTTCCCTCGGCTTCTGCCACCCCCTGCACACAGGTGGTACACACTCACATAAGCAAAATGCATAAATAAAAATAAATCTTTTGATAAAATAAAAGAGATGGCTCAGCGGTTAATAACACTGACTACTCTTGCAGAGGCCCCAGGATCAATTCCCAATACCCATATGTCAGCTCATAACAGTTGCAGGGAATTTGATACTCTCACACAGGCATACATGCAGGTAAAAAACATCAATGCATACAAAATGAAAATAAGTAGGTAATTTTAAAAAATAAAAATGAGTAGATGCATAATTCACATTTTCTTTAGGAAACTTAAAGTTTTCAAGAGAAATATTTTGTCATTCATTTAAACACACACACACATATAAATAATTGTAGTATTTAGTGTGGGTGAAGGTATGTTTTCATAATATCTTATGAGGTACATATTATTAGCCTTGCTTCATAAGCAGGAAGCTAAAGCTTTAAAACAGTTCCTACATTTTCAAAACTGATACATACTAAAGTCAGGATACATACCAAAGCTCCGAGTGTACTCTTTTTTTGAGTCAGGATTTCCCTGTAGCTTTGGAGGCTGCCCTGGAACTCGCTCAGTAGACCAGGCTGGCCTCGAACTCACAGAGATCCACCTGAGTGCTGGGATTAAAGATGCAAGAGTGTACTCTTAGTCACTTTATTCAACTCACTGCACAATGAAGAACATTTGGAAATTGAAGAAATACATAAAACAGAAAGTGATATCAACCACAGTTCGGCACTCTCAGCCTCTGTTGAAAGTTTCCTTCCAGTCTCACAGAGCCTTCCCTGATAATAGCTGTCTGCTTTTTTTAAAAGCCCTGGAACAAAGACAAATGACATCCATACTTCTGGGTCCCCTGAACTGAACTTCTTTACTGTGGTGTTTTTTCTCATAGCCTTGGGTTTATGCCTTTCTATCTATATGTACTTTTTTGATAATACAGTAATCATACACACACATACACACACACACACACACACACACACACACACACACACACACACACACGGCATTTTGCATTCTTTATGATACTTTGGTGAGCTTTTCTTTTGCTAAATTCCATTAGGTATATGTACTTTTTTTCTGGCTGTTTAAAATTCCACTTCATAGCTTTACCAGAATTTAATCATTTCAGCCAGGCGGTTGGTAGTGTATGCCTTTAGACCCAGCACTTGGGAGGCAGAGGCTGGCGGATCTCTGCGAATTTGAAACCAGCCTGGTCTACAAGAGTCAGTTCCAGGACAGCCTCCAAAACCACAGAGAAACTCTGTCTTGGAAAAAAAAAAAATCATTTCAATTGGGTATTTAGGCTTAGTGTGCTATTGCTACAAACCAGGGAGTGTAAATGGAGCAGGGTGACAGTCATTCCACTGCTGCTAATGATTTCTATTAATGCAGTTTTTTTTTCCAGGTGTTAAACAACTTGGAAATGTTAATGTCCTCTCCATTAGTTCTGAAGGACCCCAGATGTTTTAATTCTGTTCCGTGCTTTGGACTGTCTTTTCCATAGGATCTAAGCGCTCTTCCCACAGCAATGCTTACTTTTATGGCTTCTTCAAGAACAAGAGAATAGTTTTGTTTGACACTCTACTAGAAGAATACTCTGTTCTAAACAAAGACAACCAGGAGGAGCCTGTCATGGAACCCCGCAATGATGGTGAAGGGGACAGTGAAGAAATAAGAACTAAAGTGAAAGTGAGTTCTTTTTTCCTCAGAGACTCTGACTTAGTTTTTATACATAATTTATTTGACAGAAGTGAGGTCCACAGAGACCACCAAATAGAAATACTATGGACCCTTTAAAGTTCTGCTGTTTGGGAGAAATGATTACCATTATTACATGCTAAGTAAACTACCTTGCAAGTTTTCACATATTACAATGTGAAATTGTACATATTAAAATTGAAAGATTTTATTTTTTAAAAATCATGTAATAACTTTACATGTGTGTTCATGTATGTGTGGCAAACATGGAAATCAGAAGGACAAGTTGTAGAAGTTAATTGTCTCCTACCACTGTAGATCCTGGGGATTGAACTCATCTAGGACTTGGACACACAGGTTTAAGCCAATAAATGTCTTTGTTAGCTGGCTGATGACTACACTGGTTGTAATCATTGACGCACCATTGTAGTCCCAAGCCTTTCTTAGAATGAACTTTTTTTTAAAAAAAGATTTCTTTATTATGTATATAGTGTTCTGCCTGCATGTATGCCTGCAAGCCAGAAGAGGGCACCAGATCTCATTATAGATGGTTTGAGCCACCATGTGATTGGTTGCTGAACTCAAAACCTCTGGAAGGGCAGGCAGCTCTTAACCCCTGAGTCATCTCTCCAGTCCCCTTAGGATGAACTTTTAAGCACAAAAACCATACCCTGAGTTGGCATGATTCAGTTAACAAGAACAGTTAGTGAGAACAGAACTACAGAAGCCAGAAAACAAGGTTAGAGACTTTCCCAGAACTATGGATTCTGGTGAATTGGGTCTTTGTTTTCATTTTGGCTGGTGGCATTGCCCACATGCTGAATTTTATGGCTTGAATGTTACTTCCATCATGGAATCAGTTGTGCTAAGGTCTGAGGGCCTGTTACAGCAATCACCTTTATCTGATGAGTCATCTCATTGGCCCATATTTCATTTATGTTTCTGATCAAAGAATTTCTGCAGACAAAATAAGAAGATGAGCATTTACTTTTTGGTATAATTGAGACGTAGCAGTTAATAGGCTTTACTTTGGCAATGGACAGAGTGGAGACCTAGTCCTGTCATTTAGTCATTGAGGTTTCTTGGGTGCATTATATAATTAAATCGGTTTATTTGTTTTTAACACGTAATTATGAAATATGTGCTCTGTACTGAACTACTTTGCTGGACATTAAGTTCAGAAGTACTGGGGGTGATCGTTCACACCTTTAATCACAGCACCCAGGAGGCAGAGGTAAGTTGTTTGAAGCTTAGTCTACAGAGCAAGTGACAGGGCTGTCAAAAGAGCTGGGCGGTGGTGGCATGTGTCTTTAATTCCAGCACTTGGGAGGCAGAGGCAGGCAGGTATCTGAGTTCAAGGCTATCCTGGTCTAAAGAGCAAGTTCCAGGACACCCAAGGCTAGGCTATACAGAGAAACACTGTCTCAAAAAACAAAACAACAAAAACAGAAAATCCAAAAGTAGGGACTTGGAATGTGGCTTAGTTGGTAAAGTGCTTGCCTCTAATGCATGAAGCCTACATCCAATACAAAGCACCAAATAAACTGGTCATGATGGCTCACACCTATAATCCCAGCACTCAGGAGGTGAAGGCAGGAGGGTCAGAAGTTCAGGCTCATTTTTATTCTGAGTTCAAGGTCAGCCTGGCATATATGAGGTGCTGTCTCGAAAAACAAAGTTTTTTTCTTGTGTTGAAGAAAAGTCTAATCTTTATAAGCTTACAGTGTGAAAGGGGATAGTCAGGCAAACATCCTTTGCTCTGGGACTGGGAAGCTAGAGATACAAGATACAGAGGAGTAGAAGAGAAGGCATTTCTTTTACTTTTTATTTTGTGTGCATGTGCACACTCATGTGACTGACATATGTGCATGCCATAGCATGTGTCTAGAGATCAGAGAACAATTTTGTAGAATCAATTCCACGGCTTCATGAGTTTCAGGGGTCAATTCGGGTCTCCTGACTTGTTGACAAAGATCTTTACCCATCAAGTCATCTCACCAGCCCAAGAAAACTTTCCCTATTTTGTCGTTTTTATTTGTTTTTGAGACAGGGTCTCTATACACAGCCCTCACTGTCCTGGAACTCACTATGTAGAGCAGGCTGGCCTCAAACTCAGAGATCCACCTGTCTCTGCCTCCCAAATGCTGGGATTAAAGGAGTCTTAAAACACCACCCCCCCAAAAAAAAAGGTGTGTGCCCTAGCCCCAACCCCAAGAAAACTGTTCTGAGAGCCTAAAAACATTGCTGGATGAGGTCAGCTAATGCTGACTAGTAAAATGTAAAGCACTAAGAATAACTGGATGAGGGAGAATAGCAAGAAATCTTCAGCAATAACCTGCACTATTTTTATATGGGATGGAATGTGCCCTTGGTTTGGTGTCATGTTAGATGATTTTAGATCCCTATTCGATTACCAGCTGCATAACTATGAGCAAGTAATTTAAGGTTTCTGAACGTCTGATTCCTTGAGGCAGAGGAGAGGCTGGCAGGATCTCTCAACCTTGGCACTACTGGACTGGATAGTCTGTGATGTTTGGCAGCATCATCAACCTGTCCCCTCTAGAGATCAATACACACTCATTCACATATTACAGCCAAAACGGTCCCCAGATATTATTAGGTATTCTTGGGTGGGAGTTGAGTAGAGCCAGACTGATACATGATCTCATGATTGGGAAATGTTGGAGTAAAGTGCTCACCTTTTAGAGTTGTGAGATGAAGTGAAAAAACACGCATGAAATCTCTTGTGCTTTTCCTTTTAGGTTCTGGAAAATAATGTTTGTGCCTGTATGTATGAATGTGCACCGTGTGCATGCATGGTGCCTGTGGATGTCAGAAGAGGGTATCAGATATCCTGGAACTGGGGTTATGGATGATTTTTGAGGCACCATGTGGTATTGGGAATTGAACCTGAGCCCTCTGCAAGATGTTTGTAACTGTTGAGCTATGTCTCCAATTATCCCTCCCCCTTTTTAAGACAGAGTCTTGTGTAGCTGGGAAGATGTCCCAGTGTGTAAGAACATTTTTTCTACAAATTTGAGGACCTGAATTGGAATCCCTAGCACCTATGTAAACAGCCAGGAGGTATAGAGACAAGAAGACCCTAAGCACTCACTGACAGCCAAAACAGAACTTCCAGTTCAGTGAGAGACCCTGTCTCAAGGCTAAGGTGTACATGCTTGTATGCACACACACACATATACACACATATCCCACACACATACATGTACACCCACACACAGAAAACCATGGCTTGCTGTGCATTGCCCATATTGGCCTGGAACTTACTGTGTATTCAGCTAAAACTGGCTTCAAATTTGGGACTTCCTACTTCAGGCTTCTGAGTGTTGAGAATATAAGTATGAGCTACCATTAACTTATAAAGTTAATACTTTTAGTGGAATTACCTTGCCAACTAGGCTATTAGAATAAAAGCCACTTAGGGTTAACCAACTGAGACAAAGAAGGTCAAAGCTGAGGCAAGGACTCAAGGTCATTTTCATAAGAAGGGAATTAAAGGTGAGAAAGGGGGAGTCAGTAAGAGTTAACTTGAGAGTCCTGCAGGTTCAGCAGGGAGCCTGCTTAAGGGTGTCCAGTTCAGGGCCTATGACATTGTAGTTAATTTACACACTAGCAAGTGATTTAGGGGATGCAACAATGGAAGTAGAATGCAGACCTTTAGTATCTTTGAAAACAGTTTTATTTGGCTATAAACACAGTTGGTAGCTGGGGTAGCTCAGAGGAATACTTCCCTAGCATGTCATAGGCCTGCATTCAGTCCTCAGCAGTACAAAATATAAATGTTCGAGTACCTCTTCGAAGTGTGGTAAATTGAGCATGCCGCCTTTTGCTGGCTTCTTGAAGAACCTGCTTTTATTTCATCAACTTCAGTGTTTAGATATAAATTATATGCCATGATCCCTTAGACCTCATCCTACCCTAATAAATCCATGAGTAGGGGTGACAAAGAGCCCATAGTTTGAGACAGGCTGAGATATATGAAATATCTTGAATAGCCGAAGTAGTGTGGCTTTTTAAAATTTGAGGTGTGGATAGCTGGGCGATGGTGGTCCATGCCTGTAATCCCAGCACTCAAAAGGCAGAGGCAGGCAGATCTCTGTGAGTTCTAGGACAGCCTGCTTGCAAGTTCTAGGACAGCCAGGGCTGTTACACAGACGAACCCTGTCTTGGAAACAAACAAAATTTTTTGAGGTTTGGTGTTTTGTTCTTTTGTTGAGATAGAGTCTAATGTATCCCAAGGTGGCCTCAACTTTTGGTCCTCAACCTGTCTCCCAGTCTCCCTTGACTGTATCCATCTTAAAAGTAAGGTGTTACTGCAGATTCTAATAGACAGGGAGGTTTCTAAGAAGAGGCTATGTGAATGAGGCAGGATTTTGCATGGGGGACTGAACAGAGTTTTTTGTTTTGAGACAGGATCTCATGTAGCTAGGCTGACCTTGAACTTTCTGTGTAGCTGGGGATGACCTTGACCCTGCTCCTCCACCTCTCAAGTGCTGGGATTCTATCATCCCCCACCCTCCAAGACATTTTGATTTCTCAGCGTCCTTTTCTTTATGTCTGAAGTGAAGCTGTTCCATTTGTTACCAGTGCAGTGTTATTAAGGATCAAATGAGACTAGGTATGAGCTTTATGGAGAGGAGAGTGCTCACATACTGTGTGTTATTTGTGTTCTTTTATGTGGCATTAATGAGGAAGGAAAGAAAACCAGTTCTTTCTGACATTTCACTGCAAATCATTGAGCCTCCTTTTGGTGGCAAGTTACCCTTTTTCTTTTTTGCATTACACGCTGATATGGCTTTGAGTATGATTCCCATGTTGTGTGTCATCCTGTCTTCAATCCCCATGCTAGGAAGTGAACCAAGGTGAACTTAACACATGCAAGGCAATTGTTTACCATATTCTCATGTTCTCCTTATTACGCTGTCATGTCTTTGCCTTTTGCCTTTTTCTTTCTTTCTTTCTTTCTTTCTTTCTTTCTTTCTTCCTTTCTTACTCTCTCTCTCTCTCTCTCTCTCTCTCTCTCTCTCTCTCTCTCTCTCTCTCTTTCTTTCTTTCTTTCGACAGGCTCTCTACATAGCTCTGGCTGTCCTAGAACTCACTATGTAGACTAGGCTGCCTCCCTGCCTCTGCCTACCCAGTGTTAGGATTAAAGGTGTACACTACCTCTGCCATTCTTTTGGTTTTGTTTTTCAAGATATGGTTTTGCTGTGTTGCTCGGGCTGTTCTGGAACTCACTCTGTATACCATGCTGGCCTTGGAACTCACAGAGATGCGCCTGCCTCTGCCTCCCCGAGTGCTGGGATTTAAGATGTGTGCACCACTGCCTGACTCTGTTTCCTTATTTGTATTCTGAATCTGATAATACCATTATACAAATTCTTACGGCACTAATGCTGCTCTGTGTTATCTTTCACTCGTTGTGACTTGTTTCCTAAGTACTTGGAGATTCTTACTATAATTTGTCACTGATTTAGAAAAAAAAACTATATGTTTATGGGTGTTTGACCTGCATGCCTATATGTGTGCCAGCCACATACATGCCCGGTGCCCGAGGATGCCAGAACATGGCATCAGTTGAATTACAGACAGTTGTAAGTTATAATGGGGGTTCTAGAAATTGAACCACAGTACTCTGGAAGAGCAGCCATCTCTCCAGCCCATTGGACTGACCTTAATCTTGAAGAACCTTGAGGTTTTTATAGAGTACAGGCCTGGTGAAGATTTGCATTTGTCTGACCTGGTAGACACATACACACTCTCGAGAGCATGCATGTGCACGAGCATGTGCGCGCGCGCGCGCACACACACACACACATTACACACACAGAGCTCCTTTTTGTTTCTATTTTCTTTTTTTCAGAGATCATTACTTGAATGTTAGGTTTCTTTATTTTTTTTTTTTTAACCAAGTTTAGTTACTGTATGTGTGTGTTCATGTGCCTTGTATGTGTGGCAGTAAAAGACCCGCTTGAGGAGTCGATTCTCTCCTACTGTGTGAGTCCTGAGGATCAGGCTCAGGTCATCAGTTTGGTACCAGGCACCTTCATCTGTTGAGCCAACTTTTTGTTTTATGTTTGTTGGCACAAGCACCTTTGTCCCCGAGCCATTTCTCTGGTCTCTCGGATCTTATTCTAGCTAGAGGTGCTTACTGCTGCTCACCATGTCCTTTGAAAGTTCAGCAATGCACTCAGCTGCCTCTCAGTATTCCCCACTGCTGCCTTGTGACTCAGCTCCGACTGCTTCAGTTGCCCCCACATTGCTGATTTCACCTTTCCTATTTCTCCTACGTTCCTGGCATTATCTTATAATTTGAATCAATTTTTATTTTTCTAATTTTTTTTTTTTTTTTTGTAGTGCTGGGGATTAGAACCAGGGCCTTGTGCATATTAGGCAACAGGTTTTGAATGTCCCTAGCCCCTGAGGATCTATTTTTAAACAGCTGTTACTGGTGTATTTTTGAGTCATGCTCAAGATGTGCATATTTGTAGACATTCAGCTGGTCCTGTTATTCTAGTCTGTCATATACAGTTGACGGCTCCTGACACTGCTGTCTTCCTGTCGGTGTCCCTGGTGACTGTGTGTGTCTGTCATATACAGTTGACTGCTCCTGACACTGTGCTGCTGACACCGTGCAGTCTTCCCTTCAGGGTTCCCAGTGACTTTGCATGACTGCTCCTTGATCATGCTCAACACAAGGAGTTTCCATGTCAGATCAAACCTGAGGATGAAGTTTCTAATGGGTTTGGGATGTGGCTGTCAAGGGGTGTCATTATGACTTGTTTAACTCTTTAGTAGATGGGTAAAGATTTGTGCTTTTTCCAGTTTTGTTTCGTTTTTTTCCCCTAATTTAAGTTAGTCAAGGGTGTTGAACTTAGTGAAGTTAGAGCCTGTCTCGTTTATAGTTCTATCTTTAGGGGTGTAGTAGTTAATGCTGTGTTAAGCAAAAAGGTTCTGTACTGAAGTCTGTTGTTTTTGTTAGAATCCATGAAGGGATGTTACTGGATCAAAGCTAAAGATACAATCAAATTAAAGGCTATAAATAGGTTTCTTTCTCTTTTTTTCTTTGATTCAGAATAAGAAACAAGGATGTAAAAATGAGGAGGTGCTGGCTGTACTTGGCCATGAACTGGGACACTGGAAGTTGGGACATACAATAAAAAATATCATTATTAGTCAGGTAAGTTTGGAATGACAATTATATTTTGTTTTGTTTACTTGGAGTCAGGGTCTCCTGTAGTCTAGACTGGCCTGGAACTCATTATGTAGCCAAAGATGACCTTGAACTCCTGATCCTTCTGCCTTCACCTCCCTTGTTTGGGGATTACAGGTGTGCATCAGCACCCCAGCTCACAGTTACATTTTATAAAAGAATAGTTAGAATGGCAGGAAAAATGAGTGTGGTGGTACCCACCTGTAACCTAAGTACATAGGACACCCAGACAGAAGGATCTCAGCCAGAGAGGCTGGCAAGATGATTAGCAGTTAAAGGTGCTTACTGCCAAGCCTAAGATTGTTTCTTTGTTTGTTTTTTGCCAAGCCTAAGTTTAACCCCTAGGACTCACATGGTGAGTACCAGCTCCCTCAAGTTGTCCTCTGACCTCCACACTTGCAATGTAGTATGTGTTCTTGTACACACACATATAATAAAGAAAATAAATAAATAATTGTTTTAGAAACTGAGGGCTATTCTGAGCTATATAGTAGCTTTCAGGCCAAACTGAGCTACACAGTAACATGACACTTGGTCTTAAAAAGAAAAGCTAAGTAAGTAAATAAAAGTATATCAGGCCTGAGACATTATATAGTAATGGGAACAAGACATTCATTAGGCCAGGAGTGATGGCACAGGCTTGTAATCCTACCATTCAGGAGGCTGAGGCAGGGTCCTGAAGCAATTCCTTAATTTCTCTCTGCTTCCATTTCTTCATTGAATAATATGGCTTAGGGCTAGTTAGGCATTATATGACTAGTGTTGGTAGAGTTTGGAATGTACCGGGAGCATCGTGAGAGCATGTTAAGTATATATTAGTGTTTATTGCTGTCACCATCATTGCTGTCACTACCAGAGTTGCTCAGACACATGAACTGTGAAAACCAAGAAGTGGCAAACATTAAATGCTTTTTCAAGGTTGGTGAAAAGGTTCAGTGTATAAAAGTACTTGCCATCAAGTGACAGTGTTAGATTGATTCCTGGGACCCAGCTGGTGGAAGGGGAGAACTGACTCCTGCAGGCTGTCCTCTGACCTTCACATGCTTACCATGACATACATGCTGCCACAAAAACTCACACCCATCAAACAAAAATAAATAAAAGTGTAAAAGGTTGTAAAAGAATCTACTGTAGGGGCTGGAGAGATGGCTCAGAGGTTAAGAGCACTGGCTACTCTTCTAGAGGTCCTGAGTTCAATTCCCAGCAACCACATGGTGGCTCACAACCATCTATAATGAGATCTGGTGCCCTCTTCTGGCCTGAGGGCATACATGCAGACAGAATACTGTGTATGTGATAAATAAATAAATACATACATCTTAAAAAAAAGAATCTACTGTAAAACAATAGATCTGCTTTTATGATTCTTTATCACATAAAGGTATGTGTCTTCCAAATGAGTATGTGTACTTGAGTGCAGGTACTCACAGAGGCCAGAGGCATATGATCCCCTGGAGTTGAGTTAAAGATGGTTATGAGCCATGTGATGTTGGTGCTGGAACCGAACCCAGGTCCTTCACAAGAACAAGTGCTCTTAACTGCTGAGCCATCTCTCCATTCCCCCCCCCTTTTTTTTCCACAGTGTTCATTTTTGGCACCCTACTTTCATCTGGTGCCAGCATAGCTTGTTATTTGTATATGTTATAGATGAAATTATGAGATTAAAGGTGTATGCCTTTGCCAGGCAGTGGTGTCACATGACTTTGGGAGGCAGAAGAAGGCAGATCTCGGAGTTCTAGGTCAACCTGGTTTACAAAGTGAGTTTCAGGACAGCCAGAGCTGTTACACAGAGAAACCCTGTGATAAAAAACAAACAAACAAAAAAATGTATGCCTTTAATTTCAGCAGACAGGAGACTGAGGCAGGATTATGAGTGTGAAGCCAACATGGGTATGTATATAGCCAGACCCTGTGTCTTAGTCAGACCCTGTGTTGTAGGGGTTTCTATTGCTGTGATAAAATGCCATGACCAAAAGCAATTTGGGAAGGAACGTATTAATTTCATCTTAAAATTCTCAGGTCACACTCTGTCACTGAGGGACGTCAGAGCAGGAAACTGAAGCAGATGCCACCAGGGAACTCCACTTACTGGCCTGCTTTCTTATATCACCCAGGATACCTACCCAGGGGTGGACTGGCACCACCCACAATTCAATCCCTACAGATTTGCCCCCAGGCCATCTGGTGGGAACAGTTTTTCATGTGAGGTTCCTCTTCCCAGACATGACAAAGACTGACTGGCACATCCTGTTTCTGATGAAACAATACCAAGCCAAAACTAACCCAAAGCCCTTCCCCCTCCTTTCAAAGTCATTATATATTCACTGAAAATTGTAGTCAGCAATTCCAGCACCACTCCTCCTCAGGGTGTTGCGAGTTCCTCTAAACCAGTAGTTCTCAACCTGTGGATCACAACTCCTTTGTGGTCGAATGACCCTTTCACAGCGGCCACCTAGACCATCAGAAAACACAGATATTTATATTACAATCCATAACGTTAGCAAAATTATGAAGTTGCAGTGAAAAAAAAATTTATGGTTGGGGATCACCACAACATGAAGAACTGTACTAAAGGGTCACAGCGTTAGGAAGGTTGAGAACTGCTGCTCCAAACCAAGATGTTCTCAAGCTCTGGCTGAAATAGCAATTACTCTGTTGTCTGGTTCTGAGTACATACAGCATTAACTGAATCCTGTTTATGTGTGTAGGGGGGTTGTTTGTTTTCTTTTTAGATAGAATCTCATTCTGCAGATCAGGATGGCTTTTCAGTTTGCAATCCTGCCTCCACAGTGCTAGAATTACAGGCTGTTACCATCATGTCATGCTTCACTAAGTCTTAGGTGGGTCTCTGTTCCTGAAAGGCCAGTAGATGCTGGGCTACGTGGGAAGACTTGTGAGCCCAGTTTTCCTGTGCCATAGGTCTTTAGTTGAAACTTAGCTCCTTAGCTTGAAGTTGTGCTGTAAAAATGTACACAAGATTTAAGGCTTAAATAACTCCAAATTTAATTCTAACTAAGTGTTTGATCTATAAGGAAAATCACTGCCCCTTCTATAAAAGAATGGGTATAGTGGGCTGTCCCAGAAGACACATTGGGTACCTAGTAGGAGTCAGGTACCTCTTCTGACAAAAGGTCTGTGTTATTTACTGATACCCTGACTGTCTGTCACCTTGGCCACTAGTCATAAGCACCTTTGTCAAGACCTAGAATATCTGTGGAAGCAGCTAGCCTCCCTGTAGTGTATTCTGAGGCCTCTGATCATCCGACCAAACCACTAATTGCCCACGCAAATTAGTGCGTGCTTTCATCTCATATCTCCATAGCTAGGTAGCTGTACTATTTAAAGTTCTCTTAACCAAGAATATTTCTCACCAATCGGTGGTGGCCCATGCCTTTAACCCTCACACTGGGAGGCAGAGGCAGGCAGCTCTCTGAGTTCAAGGCCAGCCTGGTCTGCAGAGCAAGTTTCAGGACAGCCAGAGCTACACAGAGAATCCTTGTTTCAAAAAAACAAACAAAAAAACCAAAAAGTTTATCTGTGCCAGTGCCTTCCAGGACCATCCCTACATGACACCAAGTGCTGAGGCACTATACTTTGAGCTGGTGCCAACATAACTTGTATCTCAGGTTGTGGAAGAAGGGATTTATTTCATCTTACAAATCTCAGGTCACACTCTATCACTGAGGGTGTCATTTAAGGAACCTGGAGAAAAGAGCTTAAATAGAGGCCACAGCGCAGCGGTTCTCAACCTGTGGGCCATGACCCCTCTGGGAGTTGCATATCAACTATTTATATTACAATTCATATCAGTAGTGAAATTACAGTTATGATGTAGCAGTAAAATAATTTTATGATTGGGGAACCACCATAATATAAGGTACTATATTAAAGAATGGAAGCATTAGGAATTTTAGTGAGATATCCCCCCTGCCCGCACCTGCTGCACTGACCATGCCCATTGGGGGGTGGGGACAGGTGCGAGCATGACCTGTAGGGACTAGGTCTGGGGTCCTAGACCCCAGCTCTCTTTCTTACTTCCTGGTTGGAGACAGAGAGCATCGGGAGGCATCCTTTGAATAGGAACCTGCGGCGGTCATCTGTTTCTGGTGTTCAGTGATTTCTCCCCGAATAAACATCCATTAGCCAATGTTGTGCCCCAGAATCTTATTTCCCATGTGATAACTGATGTGTTGAGAACCACTGCCATAGAGGAACATTGCTTACTGGCTTGCTCAGCCTGCTTTCTTATACAACCCAGGACCACCTGCCCAGGTGAGATGGGCACTCCCCCATCAATCATTGATTAAGACAGTGCCCCCCTGGCCTGCTTAGCATCATAGTAACCCAGTGTTATGTCCTCTTTTCTAGATAAATTCTTTCCTGTGTTTCTTCTTGTTTGCTGTGTTAATTGGTCAAAAGGTGCTTTTTGCCGCCTTTGGTTTTTATGACAGCCAACCCACCCTGATTGGACTCTTGATCATCTTTCAGTTTGTTTTCTCACCTTACAATGAGGTAATGTACACTTTCCAAAATTACTACGCTTATGTTTTTCCCTATTTCAGATGTGGATTCTTTAGGGTAATATGAAAAGAAATCAACAAAACCATAGAACCTTCTAGTTCCTCACTGTATAGGAGGATAAAAGCTATACTGGACAGTATTAAGGCGGCAGAGAAATCTGAGTCTAAACAGTTAAGTGCACAGAATACTGTTAGGTGGTAAAAGTAGAGAATTGGAGAGTAGCAATAAAAACCTTGATAAGTGTAACTCAGAGCTCCACTACATACACCCATTTCTGGTCTTTTTGCTTGAGGTGGGAAAACCTCAGTTTGACATGCTGCCCACCCCCCCCATCCTGTGTTCCTAAGTCATAGTCTCCCGATAGGTTTGGCTTGCCTTTCTCATGTCCTGACCAGCCTTCCTCCGCAGCCTGACTCATGAAGACTTAGGTGACAATAAAGGTACCAGGTGGTTAAACCCTTTTCTTTTCTTCTGCAGGTTTTGTCTTTCTGCCTGACAGTCCTGAGCCGCAGATTTGAGTTCCAGGCCGATGCTTTTGCCAAGAAACTTGGGATGGCTAAAGACTTATACTCTGCTTTGATCAAGCTGAACAAGGATAACCTGGGATTCCCAGTTTCTGACTGGTTGTTTTCAACGTGGCACTACTCGCACCCTCCGCTATTAGAGAGGCTTCAGGCTCTGAAAAACACAAAACAAGACTGAGCCGCTCGTGACTGCACACACTTCTGGTTATTTCTGTCCTGGCAGCATGTTCCAGCTCTTGATGTTCTTAATTTTTTAAGAAAAATGATTAAGTACATAAAAGTCCAGATTTAAATACATTTACTATCTCATTTAAAAAAAACGATTGTAATAATCCATTTCTTAAAATACTGAATAGAAATTTGAGGCTTAATATTTTTAAAGCATAGTCTTATCTAACATCTGGTTTACCATCAATTTGTAAAAATTAGTCAAGGCAATGCACAGCTCGTTTTATTTCTTCACTATGTGGAATCTGCGTATAGGGTATTCGGGTTGTGTGTTTAAAGGAAGAAACATCACCTCCAGGTAGTTTCTGCGAGACAGAAACAGAAAGAGTGGCCCCCAATCATTGTGTTTATACCTACATGGAGTTTGTTTTTACTTTCATGCTGTTATGATTTAACTTGGCCAATCAGTGTTTTAAATAAGAAAGAAAAGTACAAATCAGTGAGGCTAATGCTACTGAAATGGACATTGTTAGTCTACACTGTGCTGCCGCAGTCACAGAGCTTTCTGTTTCTTGGCACACCAATCAGGAGTCCCCTCCCTGTCTCTCCCCGCTTCCCGCCTTCCTTCCCTGTCTTTTTTGCGATAAGGTCTCACTCTAGCCCTTGTTGGACCCAAGTTTATTCTTTAGCCTAGGATGGCCTAGAACTCTTATCAAGCCTCCTTCCTCTGCCTTCCAAATGCTGGAATTGCAGGTGTGAGCCACCACACCCAGCTTAGGAATTAATAGTGCTTGAAATTAGAAATCTTTTAAGAAAGTCTTAATTTTAAGCCAAGTTTGGTAGCACTTACCTTTAATCCCAGTGCTTGAAGCAGAGGCAGGTGGATCTGTGAGCTGAGGCCAGCCAGGGTTACATAGTGAGACCCTGTCTAAACAAAGGAAAGAAAGAAAGGGAAAGGAAAGTTTAATTCTCCCCTTTCCTCCCACCTGGCCTTGTTAGAGGTAAACCAGCCCTTTCTCATTCATTCTCCCCAACAATTGATAGTACATCCTTTCACTTAGCAGAAGTTGCCATTTTGTACACATTCCTGATGTTAAATGTGGAATATGAGAAGAAGAGATGACATCTGAAAAGATGTAAAGGTGAAATATTCATGATTCTCTTACTACAGGAAAAAGTACACTTTATCTTTGTTCAAGGCAGAGTCTCTGCCTTCATTTTGTAATGTTTTTATTCATAAGTTATAATTAAACCAGATTACATTTTTTAAATTCTAAGTCTTGGTAGGCAGGCAGGTATTTCCTTTCAGAAACAGCCTCATGAAAGATCTCCAGTGGTAAAAGGTGTGTGCTTGACGGCTTCAAATGTCTGTCCATGTCCTGGTGTGTGAGTGGTGCCTTCACACAGACCATAATAGCCTCAGAGCTCTAGTTCAGCACTGCATTGTTTATTTCCTCAGCTAAGCAGAGCAGCCCACGGTTTCTCCCCAGCGTCTTTCCCTATGACTTCATGCTCAGATAATTGCCTTTCCTTCCTTCTGTGCCTTTAAATACACGTTTCAGTCCTGCACAAGTGAGACATTAAAAATTGCCAATGCAGATTTACGTCCTGATGTTGGGTTTTGTGTTGTGATTTGTGCGTCCTGTTACCCAGATGTGTTGATCGCCTCCAAGAATAGTGCTGTCCAAGGGTCCTGTGAACAGCCGGAATCTGAGTGCCACCAGGGCTCACAGCTGCTTCCTGTTCCTTCCCAGCACATACATCATTGCTGCATTACCTCAGAAGCAGCCTTGGAGTAAGCCCATCTCCATTGTTGTAAGCTCAGGTTGTCTTGGGCTTGGTTTTTATTGTTCCAGCCCCTTGGATCCTCTCTATCATCCAGATTAATCAGGAAATACCCACGGGTATTCTAAAGCCCAAGAAACCAGGATTGCCTATACCAGTGGACAGATAACTGGCCTGTCGGGGTCAGAGCTTGCCTCTGATCCTCAATTATAGCTAACAGTGAGTAAGATACACCAGTCCCTTCTTCCTATAGGTTTTTTTCTTTTATTCAGTCCATTACAGAAATACTAATAACATTTGTCAAGTTGTTAAAGAAAAACTTTCTTGGATATGGTCTCCTGTATCCCAGGTTGGTCTCAAAGCTACTGTGTAGTTGAGGATGACCTTGAATTTGGTCTTCTTGACTCCACCTCCTGAGTGCTGGAATTACATGTGCCATTATATGGTGACCAGCATGTGCCACCGTGTTTATGTGATGCAAGAGATTAAACCCAGAGTTGAAGCATTCTATCAATTGAGCCATAATCCAAACCCTACACCCAATGTGTTATCATAACTGATTTATTAGTTACTACTAATCTCTCACTATGACTAATTTAGAAGCAAAACTTTTTTTCTTTATCATATCCTAGAAGCTAAACTTTATCATAGGTATGCGTGTTGTAATTTTCAGAAAGAGGCCGGAAGAGAAAAAGAAGCCATGTGACAGGGTTCAAACAGGGGTTTTTATAGGGGAATGGGATCCTAAAAAAGGGAAAGGAGAGCAGGGAGACCATCCTCTGGGTACAGGAGCAAAGGGAGAGAAAAGGGGAGCAGACAGAGAGAGAGGAGGATGGGAGGTGGGCAGGGCCCTTTTAAACGGGAACATGGTGACTGTGCACAGGTGGTCCTCTCAGTGGCTGCAGCTGAGGGTGTATCCTGTCAGAACCCCAAGGGCAGGCCAGTACAGATGCCTGAATACTAACAATGTGTGTATAGAAAAAACTATAATGGGGCCCAGGGACAGGGCCTGTACATATCTGCAGGAGTCTTACAAAAGGGGAACTATAGGTATAAAGGCATTGAAATGGGTGAGCAACACCAGAAGGCCAGTAGAGAGTTTGGGAGATGAAACAGAGAGGACAAATTGTACTGTACATTGTAACTGCTGTGAGAATTCAGACTTTGGGGGCTGGGGATACTGTTCAATTAGAGTACTTGCCTAGGATGCACAAGGCCCCTAATGCTTTGAAATGGAAGAGTTTTAAGCTTTTTGAGATGGCTCCTCTGGCTGGCCTCTAACTCACAGAGATCTGCCTGCCTCTGTACCTAGTGCTAGGATCAAAGGCGTGCTGTGCCACACCTACTTTTAAACTTTTACTTGTTTGTGTAGGAAGTGTTGGGCATGAAGGCTTAGGGCATGATGTGCCTTAGTTTTACAGGATTGCCCTGGATTCTGTATTAGAAGTGGGATGATGGTGGGACCTTCTCACCCTTATGGCAAGTAACCTCGGTGCTCCGGTGGAGTGGTAGTTGGGAAGGTACTACAAGGTGTGACCTGGAAGAACCATGTTGAATCTCTGGGCAGCTGAACTATCTAGGTGTAGTGTCCTTTCTGTTAACTGTCGTTTCCTCCGTGTGTGTGTGTGTGTGTGTGTGTGTGTGTGTGTGTGTGTGTGTGTGTGTGTGTGTATTAGTGGGGTCAAATCCAGGGCCTCACTCATGCTAGGCAAGTGTTCTATTGAAGTACCCCACAGCGTTTTGACTGCTCACAATTCAGTTATGGAGGGTGCAAAGAACCACAGGGAATCTTGAGCCATCAGGACAGCCACACACAAGTTGAATCCAAGTTACTTCATTCCTAGTTTGATGATTAGAGTTGTTTCTGGATATATTTTTCATTCATTTAATGAATTGTCACAAGCTGTTGAGGGCCATGATGCAGTTATAGTAGATGACAGCAGATATTTATATGGGCAACCCACCAGATGATCAACTAATCTTACGGAGGAAATTCATAGGCAATGCTTATGAAAACGTTGTATATAAATACTGACTGCTTCTGTATGTAAATTTACAAGTGCAAGGACAGCATTGTAATGTATAATCTCATGTGATGTGTATATGTAATCTCATGATTGCATCTCAGTCTTATGGACACATATCTGTGGATAGTCAGGAAAATGATTTCTCATTAACTGTATAATTGTGATATATAGAAAATATACTAGGATTTGCTTCATAACCAGATGTATTATTCCACAAGGACTATGATACACTTAGGCCCTGGTTTTTGTTTTTGTTTTTTTAGCACTAGCTCAGACAGGCATAAAGAAAACAATTTCTTCTCAATTCTAAGACAAGCTACATGCATTAATTGAGTCATAACCTCAAGAGCAAATTCAAACAAAACTGAATGAAGGGACCCGTAGGTTAAACTTTGCAGATATGCACAAGCAGGTGGCTAAACTGAGGTTATGAGCACAAAGTGGCCTAAAACTGCCTTGCTGGCTTCTTTAGCCAGGCCAGGCTGATAAGAGACCAGCAGCCACTCCCTACAATTAACACTGCAGAAACTTCTGACCTCAGTTTATGGTACAAAACTCAAGGCTCAGCTAACTGTTTAAAAATTTATATAAAGGACAATAATAACAACCAATTAACCAAATCCAGAGAGAAAGAGAAACAGCTTTACATAGGAAGAGTTTCAAAGATGGCCAGAACTGCCAAAAATGGCCCAGCCTTACAGCCTCAAATCAAAAGTTTCCCACCTGTAAACTCACTTCTTGTGCTCTGGGGCTACATACAGGGTAGAAAACTGTATCTTTAGACTTGGGACTCAAAGCAAATTGCTCAGCACTATTCACCCAGCTCATTGGTTTACAACAGGTTGCCTTGGTTACTCACAGACTGCTCACAAAGGGCCCCAGCCATGCAGCTGCACTCTTCCTGTTAAAGGCTACAGGACACACACACACACACACACACACACACACCTGACACCTTTACATCTTATTAATCACACAATGTCAGTCTATAGAAGGCTTAATACACTTAAGAAATGTAGAATAGTACACAACTTCTTTACTTTTTCCTTAGACCTCTCAATAGTTTATCCTTTCTCTGCTATAGCCCCTTGTAAGCAGCCTTCTTAAGAGAATGCTACAGCCGATACTCCCTTTTACAGCTGCCTACTAATCAGAAGCTGACAAGTTTATTCCACAGCTGTCCCTTATTGTTTTACTCGAGGAATGCATTGTGACTATGACCCTAGAAAATAGCATTTGTAACCTTTTTTTTTTTTAATCATCACCAAAAGTTTGCTGTTGAATGTGTATATAAGCCATGTGAGCAGAGGAATTAGTGGTAACTGAAACTAATGATATAAAAGTAGGGAATTGGAACTAAAGACAGAACCAGAGAACTGGACCCAAAGATTTAAAACTATGAGAGCTGGAAATAAAAAAACATGACCCTCAGATCACGTATGTCTATGTCTTTTTCAAATGTCCCCCAAGTCCTCACTGCTTTGAAGTTGTTTACTGCTATCCTGGAGGCAGTCCTGGGAGCTGGACTTCCCGGGGCTCCCGCAGTGAGCATGCCAGGCACTATGTGCTGGAAACAGAACAGTGAACAAAAGGTCAACTCCTTCCTTTGTAGACTTTATATTCTGGGGTTTTAGGTCAGACTGAAGCACAGAGGAGAAACAGACATCACAGAAGGGGTGTTTGAAAGGCCGGGAAGGAATGAGATCACTTTTGAGCCAAGGGTGAAGCAGGATGCTGGAGTGAGGATAGTCGATGGAACGGCTTTCCAAGTGGCAGGACAGCATGTGTGGCATAGCATGCTTAAATAGCCCAGGGAGCATCATGGTTACAGTAGGGTGGACTGGGGCCACAGAGCACAGGGATGCACTCAGAGGGCCATGTGGGAGACTCACAGGTCACATTCAAGTGATCAGAGTGAAACCCACCCACCAGGAAGTTGCAGAAGGCACAGGCCACCAGTCCTTAGGAATTAGTCCCTTTCTGCCCTTTCAAATGCTTCATTAAGTCACAGAGAGGACCAGGAAAGGTCTCCCGAGCCAGCACATAAAGAGACATCAAGGAGTCAGGTTCTCTAAGCCCAAGGTTCCAGGCACCAGACCAAGTATGGGATCTGAGAAAGTCACTGCCACCACCATGTCCCTGTGGATATCTGAGTACCTGCCCAGGCCAGGGCAGCTCTGTTCTCTTCCTTGACTAGGCCCTGTGTCCTCTATTCCAAGGGCTCCTTGGTAGCCACGTACTGGGGGCTCTCTGTGGAGCCATAACAGGATTGGCTGAAGCACTAAAGATAACGCCACCTTGGTGGCCCTTGGCCCTGCCACACCCAGTCCTTCCTGGCTGACCCCAGCTTGTGATTAAGGGACTAAGTCCCTAATGGTGCATGTGTGTTGAGTGATGAGGGAAGACAGGCTTCAGCGGGTGCTTGGCCTTGGGCTGTAGGGCTGTGTGCCTCCAGGAGGGGAGAGTGCTTCCTCTGGGGACAACACACACCCAGATTGATACTGAAACGGAAAAATGAGCCATCTGTGCTGGCTAGTTTTATACCAACCTCACACAAGCTAGAGTCATCGAGAGGGAGCCTCAGTTGAGAAAATGTCTTCATATTAGGTAAGGATTGGGGGGGTGAGAGGTGGAACTATGACGGCTAGCACCCCTCAATGGCCTCTGCATCAGCTAGCTCCTGCCCCTGGGGCCCAGCTCTGTTGATTCCTGTCCTGACTTCCTTTGATGATGAACTCTAATGTGGAAACATAAGCCAAACAGACCCTTCCCTTCCCAGGCTCCTTTGGTTA